ATGTGTATAAGAGACAGGAGGAGGAGGAGGAGGAGGAGGAGGAGGAGGAGGAGGAGGAGGGAAAGGAACAGCAGGAAGATACAGGGAGGGGAAAGCCGGAAACGAGGGAGGGTAGGGAAGGAGAACGAGATGGAGCTGGGGGAGGAGGAGAGGGAGGAGGGGGGGAGAGGGGAAGGACGAGCAGAGAAGGGGAAAGCATAGAGGAGGGAAAGGGGGGAGAAGAGGAAAAGTTCAGGGGAAAGTCGTGGGGGCGGGTGTGAAATGGCACCACATCGCTGCAAAACGTGGCACGATTTTTTTGGGTTTCTCTCTTTGTGTGTGTGTGTGTGTGTGTGAGAGAGAGAGAGAGAGAGAGAGAGAGAGAGAGAGAGAGAGAGAGAGAGAGAGAGAGAGAGTTTTCATCGGTCGTTTGCCTCCACCCTTCGTGCATCACCTGATGCATTTGCTTTTGCGAACGAAGCCGCAACAGGTCATCTAGTGATACATACATTTTCCATGCATCTATAAGAATGACCACAACCGGCCCGTAATAAACAGTTCCGACCAACGGGCCTATGGCCCTAGTTCCACTACTGCCCGTAATAAACAGTTCCGACCAACGGGCCTATGGCCCTAGTTCCACTACTCGCCATCCGCCAAGATTTCCAATGCATCTGGACAAAAATGATGACCACATGCAATCAAAATGTTGGCGGATGGCGAGTACTGCAACGAGGCCCTATAGCTAAGTTGATACACCCTATGGACTGACATGAGCTGGAGTCCAGATGGAACTAGTTAAATCGATTTCTGAATTGTCTGGGCCCGGTCATTTCCACAATGATACCTCAAGAGAAGAAAAAAAAAAAGAGGTTCCTTTTTGGGAGAAAAAAAAACACAACCCGCTGGAATCATATTTACTTCAGGATGCTTGCAGGGGTCCCCTGTATACACTTTTTTTTTTTTTTAACACAAAGCATACGCTTATTAGATGTACTACAGTGCTCTTTTTTTCACCCAAAAAGACCTTTTATATACAAGCCAGGAAACGGGCCAGGCGTCCCTCACAATGCTTACGCAGTTCGTCCTTGGAGCCAGGTATCACCGGCGTGACTCGAACGGGTCACTGCAATGACAAACGCCGTATCTCAGCTAACCTACCGCATCAGCAAGAAATGCACCCCCCTCCCCCCAAAAAGAAAAAAAAAAAAGAAAAAAAGAAAAACATTTTTACCTTTTTTATCACTACGAGCGGGAGAGAGTACTGTGTGCCAACAAAAGACAACGGAATCAACCCACAGAGATCAACCTAAGCTGACCAAGCACTCACAAAGTACACACAAGCTAAGCCTACCTACAGTACTGTGCACGTAAGCCAAACCAAACTAAGTAGACAAGGTTAAGTAGCGGTGGTGGGGCTGCGTGCTGTCCGAGCGGAGTGTGTTGATTGCCGTGTCCGTGGTGTGGTGTTGTGTGTGTGTGGTGTGAGTTCAAGGAGGCTACAGCCCTGGAGGTGGGCTGGATATCACCACCGGAATGGATCCAGCTTTTATAACACCTCCAAGGCTTGTAGTGGTTACGAGACTTCGTTCGTGAGGCTGAGGGTGCCGGATCGAGGCCGTGCGTGCACGGCGGGGCCCGGTGCCCTAAAATACACGTTGTTCAGTAACTACAATTATACACAAGCCAAACCTACAGACATCAATCTAATGGCTCTTTTTTTTTTTTTTTTTTTTTTTTTTTTTTTTTTTTTAAGAAAGCTATGTTCTTCTCTCAATTTCACCTCACACTACCTACCTACCACTACTCCTAATTGTAGGCATACGGGGAACCCCGTAGCAGCCATCAAAAATGACAGGCAATCGTCAGAGGGGAAAAAAAAAAAAAAAAAAAGAAGGAAAAAGGAAAAGGAAAAGGAAACCAACTGAGGTCGTGACTCTTCAACCCGGAAATGCACCAAGTCCAGGAACTGTCCCCAGCGACGATGAAACAGTTTCTTTGCCTTAGCAGAGCGCAGCCCTTAGCAAGCACTTGAAGCGACCACTCCGTCAGAATAGTCTGCTTGAGCACAAACTTAGTTTCTGCTCTGATCGTTGGCGGTGTCAATCTTTCACCCCACCCCGTCTCAATGCCGAGTTTCGCAGCCCGTCTCAATGCTGAGTTTCGCAGGGTCCAAAGTGACCGCAGCAGCACTGCTGCTCTCCTCTCAAACTCTCTTCGGCGTAGATGAATGCCAAGTCCCCCTGTTGTCTGCGCGCTGGCGCTCCCAAAAGGATGAACTCATCTGTCCATAAGGTTTCTGATGGAGAAACAGGAACCGAACTCGATCGGCCTGAGTCCATAAGGTTTCTGATGGAGGAACAGGAACAGAACTCGATCGTCACTAGGCCCAAAACAGGCTGGAGATTTCACAATGCAGCAAAAAATGCTACAAGGTCCTCAATTCTTGTCCCCGCACACAGGGCACAGAGAGGCGAAGCCCTGGATGACCATACCGCACACCAAGACGCTGTTGGAAGTGCAAGATAATTGCGATGTCGACTCATCACATCCTGGAGCTGGAGAAAACGTAACCTTCTCTCCTCTATGGAAACTTAGAGGTAATAAACGAGCTCAAAACGGTGAAGGCATAAATTACAAGGTCAAGTTAACGCCGTGGTAAGAACCTATTACAACAGGCTCGCTTGTTTGACCACTCCGAGGTCCATCAACAGTTTCGTTGAGTCTTGAAGCCAGACTGGGGATGGGAAGCCCTGGATGACCACGCCGTACTTTGGTAAGGCCGAGGCTAAACGAGTCGTTGAGTCTTGGAGCCAGCCTGTGGCCATCAACCGTCGAGCCGCTATCCAATTGATATCTGCTTTGGGTCTCGAGGTTTGATATCGGAGGGGGGTTGTATAACGATAGAGCGGCACCCTATCTGTGTCAGAAGATCCCACTTCCCATCCCCAGTCCCTGGGGTCCACCGCAAGTCATACGTTGGAGAAAGTAGTACCGAAAAGAAAAAAAGAAAAAAAAAGTGTAGTTTGTAATGGTGAGGTGAATTTGAGATTGGAGTATAGCTTAGATTGAAAAAGACAAAGTAACGATAACCTACCTATGAAATAAAAAGGCACCACTGCACGCCTCGCTAAAGGAATAATATATATCTTTCGTAAAGGAGGACAAAAATCGAGAGGTTATCTTTCCATGTTCTCGAGGATGGTATTTTCCAGCTGTTAGCTGAAAATACATTCGCCATTTGGCACATTTAATGCAGCGAGTTCCGATGCCTACTCACAGACAGACAGACAGACACGCACACAGACACAGAGAGAGAGAGAGAGAGAGAGAGAGAGAGAGAGAGAGAGAGAGAGAGAGAGAGAGAGAGAGAGAGAGATTGATGCTCGCTTTGAGGCTCGTCTTCTCGGATTGGTGCTCGCTGCAGAGGTAAAATCTTTGAGGGACTTTCCCCGTAGCGCTCTTTCGTGCTTACCCTCGGCTGAACGTGGACTACCATGAGAGAGAGAGAGAGAGAGAGAGAGAGAGAGAGAGAGAGAGAGAGAGAGAGAGAGGATTGATGCTCGCTTCGAGGCTCGTCAGACACGTTCCGGTTCCTGGATTGGTGCTCGCTACACAGATAAAATCGTTGAGGGACTTTCCCCGTAGCGCTCTTTTGCGTTTACCTTCGGCTGAACGTGGACTACCAGTCGAGTCAGGTTCCCTTATGCAGTGATTATTTCTCGGTATCTCTTTTCATCCCTCTGCAGTGGCCATGACGGTCTTCCTTGGGTGTGAAATATGTTGAGAGGATCGCAACTGGGCTCTTTTATTGTATGTTTTTTTCATTTTGTGCAAAGGCGGTCGGCCTTGAGATATCATTGCTAATTCCGATGCATTTCATTTCACTCGTCCGCTTCCGTCTGGATTCGAACTGTGGTCCGCATCTCAACAGTTTATGTGTGTGCCAACTGAGCTGGGTCCAGTGGTATCCCTTTTTGATTTAAGGGGGTAGCCGCCAACGTTAATGTGCACCATTCAGCTGCATGGGCTGGTTGATGAGGCTGCTTTTGGCAGCAAGGTACCGAGATAAAACCTTCACGCACAAGATCTGGGAGTGCCATGCCTGAAGGTCCTACTACTCGTAATGTTCTCGACGGGTGCGTGAATCTGGTCGCTCAAGTCTAAATAACATGCACGTTTGTTTCTTCTCTTATAGAGGCTCTTTTCCAGGTGAACGGCACTCTTTTGCGTGTCATCCAATAGCAGCAGGCCTGGCCGAGATCTTGCATCACCGGCTAAGCAGATTAGCAGTAGGCCTCTCATAAGGCCTGGCCAAGATTGCGTCACCGGCTAAGGGCATACTCGCACTAGGTATACCTGGACAAAGTATGGCTGTAACTGCGCTTGAAATGTTTGGTTTTACTCATCAAGTTCCATCATGTGGATTCGAACACTGGTCTATTTCGAAAATAAAAAACGTAATTGTGCTCGAATGTATTCTCAAGTATGTGCCCAGTGCGGGTAAAAGGATTTTCTAATTGCGACCAGATTCCGCCCGTTAGGTCTACCTTATTCCCCCGAATACGGTCATTATAGCTGTATTGGAGGCATCTTTCAGTCCAGATACAGCTATAATGACCGTACGTTGTATTCGGGGGAAGAAGGGTAGTTCCGAGCTCCCAGCTCCCAGCTCCCCGGCATTGTTGTCTTCAGTGCAGATAACGGGATTATATAGCGTCTCGTTGCTTGGAGCCCTGCGAGCGGCATTGGGCCCTGCGTGTGCGTGTTCTGGCCCTCGTGCACTACAACGTTTTCGAAATGTACCTGGTCTGCTGGTGGTGGAGATACATTCGGATGGACCAAACATTTTGAATGAATTGGGACCGCCACCAGAACCAGTTATATTTACAAAGTTATGTAGTAGCCTAGCTGTGGGCATCGCCACACCACTCTTGAAATGTGGAAAATGAGAATGAACTTCCTGCTAGAACATGACCAGATGCACACGCCATATTTCGTCTTTTTTGCATTTTGAAAGTTTGGTGTATTTTGTCTTTTGCGCATTTTGAAAGTTTGGTGGCGAGGCCCTGTGTCGGTGCATACACGAACTGTGGAAATATACAGACCAAGGGCCTCGCTGCACTACTCTTCAATCTTGAGAAATCAAGAGTTCGTCACCGCTGCACTAACTCTTGACCCCGCGTGCTGAATTTCTATTCAAGAGCTGTCAGATTCTCTCTCGGAAACGTCGAGAGTGAGTCATGGCTGCACTGACTGTGAAAAAGTGCTCTTAAAAAGAAAAGAAAAAAAGAAAAAGTGCTCTTGATACGGCGCTTCAGGTGGTGTCAGAAACGGTCCTTCGGAGGAGCTCTTGAATCTTCCACAGTTCCCGCCTGCAGGAGCGCTTTTTTCAAACGAGGCCGACCGGACCCTTCGTGCGGTTTGCAATTTTTTTTTTTTTTTTTTTTTTTATTATTATTATTTTTTTTTGAAATAGCAAGGTTTCATTATAAAAGCAAAAGGAGGCCGGGAATCCCTCCACATTTCAACCCGGAAAGGAGGAACAAACCTCAAAGAAGCATACTGG